CCTTATCTCAGGCGCAACGTATTCGCGAGGAGCACAGACTATCAAAGCACACACAGATGCAGAGTGGAAGCAGCAGCAGCAACTGCTGCAGCAGTTGAGACAGCAGCAGCAGCAGCCGAAACACAGCAGTTGACTGTTCAAGGCAATCAGATGCAACACCAGCAGCATCAGGTGCCTTCACAGCAGCAGCAGCAGAAACAGCAGTACGCTGCGTCAACAACAGCAACAGTTGACTGTTCAAGGCAACCAGATGCAACAGCAGCATCAGGTGCCTTCACAGCAGCAGCAGCTCGTGCAGCAGCAGAACAGTATGCCGCGCCAACAACAGCAGCAGCATGTGCTGCTGCAGCAACAGCAGCCGCACCCCATGTTACAGCAGCAGCAGCAACAGCAACAACAGATGCTATTGCAGCAGAAGAAGCAGCAGCAGCAGCAGCAGCAACAGCAGCAGAAGCAGCTGCAGCAACAGCAGCAACAGCAGCAGCAGCAGCTGCAGCTGCAGCAACAACAGCAGCAGCAGCTACCACAGCAGCAGCAGCAACCACAGCAACAGCAAACCGCAGCAGCAGAAGCCGCAGCAGCAGTCTCAAAAGCACTCACTTCCAGAGCACTCCCTGCCTAACCTATGGCGAAGCAAGCGCAGGAAAACAGCTCGCAAGGACGAGGATGAAGACATGGAAAAAGACGATGGGGACACTTCAGACGCGTTTCTTGGATCACAGCCTAAAGTTCTCGAGCCTCTGCATTACAGGGCGCTCAGGTCGATCCATGAGTCGATTCGACAGGTGGAGATGCTTTTTGGGGTGAAGGCCCTGCTGCTGAAAGAGGGCATGGATGGGGGAGAGGGTGGGGAGAACGGGGGTGAAGCGGCGGGTGAGCAGAAGGAAGGGGGAGAGGGGGCAGCGGGGGGGGGGCAAGGTGGGGGCGAAACAGGAGAGGAGGAGGGGCAAGGAGAGGGGGGCGATGGGGATGTGAGTCCTGTAGCGAGAGGGGAAAACGTGGTGGCGAAATGGGAGAAGGAGGAGAAGGAGGCAGAGACCCGCAGACGCAGGGCAGCAGCACAGCACGGGGACTTGCTGAAAATGCAGCTGCAGGAATTGATCTCCTGGTGGGAAAAGAAGGTCGACGGGCGTCTGGGCCCCCGCGAGCGTGACCTGTTTCAGGGCAAGCCGGAGGAGGAAAAGGCAGCGAAAGAAGAGCTGTTTGAGACGGTGTTAGCGGTGGTTCGGCTGCTGCCCGGCGTTTCCTACGGAGTGCCAGGGGAGCCTTGGGAAGATGTGTGATGTGGGCGGGGAGGTGTGTGAGAGGACGGATGTGGATTTGTACTGGGTGGAACGGGTGGTGGCTTATAATCCTCCCGAGGTTCTCAAGATGATGCGCACAGAGAAGGGCATCAAACAGCTGGTGAGTGCCTGCCTGTTTCTTGCCTAGGTTTGGCACTTATGGTGCGGGAGGGGTGGTGTGGGGGGGGGAGATAAGGAGGGGGATTGTCGTCCTGTGTAAAGCGGGTGGTGGCTTACAACCCTCCCGATGTGTTCAAGATGATGCGCACTGAGAAGGGCATCAAACAGCTGGTGAGTGGGGACCTGGGAATCTTGCATGCCGTTGGGAGAAGAGGGGCCGGGTTGTGGAGGTAGTGGGTGGTGGTGTAGAACCCTCCCGAGGTGCTCAAGATGATGCGCTCAGAGAAGGGCATTAAACAGCTGTGAGTGCCAGGGAAAAACTGGTGAAGATTGTGCTGTGGAAGGGGGAACGGAGTGGGGAGAGAGGAAGGGAGTGAGAAGATAGGTGTGGAATCAGTAATGGTGTGTAACCCTCCTGAGATGCTCAAGATGATGCGCACATAGAAGGGTATTGAACAGCTGGTGAGTGAGACGATGCAAGAGAGGATGGTGCAGGCGAGTGAGGAGGTGGTGGCATGGCATGGCACACTGACCCGTTTTGACCCGTTTTGAACCCCGTTTCCCACCCGAACTCCCTCCTTCTTCACTCCACCCCACCTGTGACACACAGGAGGTGACGATGGAAGCGAGAAAGGTGCGGCGAGGCGAGTGAGCAGGTGGTGGCGCAGTGACCCGTTTCAATTCCTCCTTTCCCACCCGAACAGCCGTCCTTCTTCCCCCCACCCCCCCACAGGAGGTGACGATGCAAGAGAGGAAGGTGCGGGCGAGTGAGGAGGTGGTGGCGTTGACCTGTCCCAAACCTGATTTTCCATCCTCTACTTCCCTTACTCCCTCTTTCTTTCTTCTCCACCCCGTTCCACACCTGTGACTCACAGGAGGTGACGATGCAGGAGAGGAAGGTGCGGGCGAGTGAGGAGGTGGTGGCACAGATGATTAGCAACTCAGCAGCACAGCTGAGGGAGGGCGGCGTGGAGACAGAAGCCTTTGTGCTCAGCCTCAAGTGCCCTCTCTCCCTCACCCGCATCAAGGTCTGTCAGGCTCTAGCAAACTCCACTCTATTGTTCATAGCATACACTCGTGTGTTTAGCATCAAGTGCTCTCTCGCCCGCACCAAAGTTTGGACCCATACTTACCTGATATGGTTTTCCCGCGCCCATCCATCACTGCTTTGTAAGTTGGGCCAGTGCGAGGTAAGAAGTGCTCCCACGAGAGCACCTTCGACCTCGCATCGTACCTGCGCTTGAACCAGGGCCTGGCCAAGAACGTCAAGCGAGCGGCGCTGCCCTATTTGCTACCAGCAGGGGACAGTCAGGGTTTAGGCGCCAGCCCAACCAGTTCAATCAATACTGAATTGTCCATTACCCGTCCCCCAACTCCCACTGCAGGTGCCAGTGCGGGGCAAGAAGTGCTCTCACGAGAGCACATTTGATCTGGCTTCCTACCTGCGCTTGAACCAAGGCCTTGCCAAGAACGTCAAGCGAGCGTGGCGCTGCCCTGTTTGCTACCAGCAACTGCTGTGGTCCGAGCTGTTCCTGGATGGATTCAGTAAGTGCATTTTTAGCGCACTGCACCGCACTCCACCTTGCGCTTGCCAGTTTCCTCCTTTTTCCTGTTCTCCCTCTCCTTTGCCTCTAACTCGCCCTCCCCCGCTCCCGCACCTCCCCATCCTCCTCACTGCTCAGCACTACATCTCTCTGCTTTCCCAACAGTGCAAACGATTCTTGTTGAAACGAGTGGGACGGATGACGAGGTGGATTTGTTTCCAAATGGGCATCCGCATCCGCTTCCTCTCTCCCCACACCCCCCTCCCCCTCCCCACTGCACCGCACTGCACCCCTCCGTTTTCCCCACAGTGCAAAAGATTCTTGATGAAACGAGTGACGAGGTTGACGAGGTGGAGGTTTTTCCAGATGGCAGGTGGAGAGTGGTGGAGAACGGTGGTGGGGAGGACGGGAGCTGTTCTGAGTCGGATGAAGAGGAGAGGATGATAATGATTGCATTGAAGCGAAGAGAGGAGGAGAGGAGGAGGAAGGTGGAGGAGGAGGAAAAGAGGAAGAAGGAAGAGGAGGCGAGTGGGGCATTGGAGAGAGGGACGGAGGGAGATGGAGTGCAATCGAGTGCGGTTGGGAGTGGGGAGGAGGGAGGAAGGAGGGGTGGGGAAGGAGAGGGGAGGGAGGATGAGGAAGAGGGACGTAATAGAGACTGCTGGAGAGGAGGGGAGAGAGGGGATGAGAGAGGGAGTGAGAGAAGGTGAGGGGAGAGGCGAGGGGTGTGAGGAGGGAAACCGGGTTGAGGAGGTAGAAGCTGTGGAGGTGGAGGTTAATGGTGGTTACCAGAACATGAATGGGGTGACTCTTGAGCCGACCGAAAAGGCACTTCAAAACCAGGTGGAGGGGGGGGAAGCTGTGGAGGTAGCTGGTGGTGACCACCAGGTGAATGGGGGGACTCTTGAGACGACCCAAAACGCATCTCGCAACCGGATGGAGGACGAAGCTGTGGAGGTAGCTGGTGGTGACCACCAGGTGAATGGGGTTACAGCGAGTCCGGCCTGTGTAACAGGAAGGGAGGCGGACATGGGTACAACAAGATCAGTTTTGGGAGACGATGTCTTATGTGGTGCTTCTCAAAACGGGACAGCAAGAGAGACAGCCTCACTGGCACCTATTCTAGTTTCAAGGGACACACTTGCACCCGGTTCAGTGTTGAGCGAGACAGTTCTTTCCTGTTCTAGTCAAACCGTGACTGCAAGAGACACAGACATGGTAACAGCAAGTTTGACTCACGTGAATGGGCTCACAGGGAGTGAACCCTCTGTGCAGGGAAGGGAGCCAGTTACTCCCTGTTCTACTCAAACCGTGACTGCAAGAGACACGGACATGGTAACCGCAGCAAGTTCGCCTCACATGAATGGACTTGAAGTGAGTGAACCCTGTGTGCGAGGAAGGGACATGGTTCTAGCAGGGGTTGCTTCCCTGGATGGACAAGTGGAGCTTGCTAGGTTTTCAGAGGCAGGAAAGGGTGGGCCAGAGAGGGGAGGGAGTAGCTCTGAGGCAGGGAGAGATGGGCCAGCAGCAGCTGTGGTGGAGAGGGCAGCGGCGGTGGTGGTGGTGGGTGGGGGCTTCGAGTGGCGTTGCTCTTGAGGCGCCTCAATCATCGGTACACATGGATGGACAAGTGGGGGTTGAGGGTTTTTCAGAGGCAGGGAAGAGTGGCGCAGCAGCTGCGGTGGTGGGTGCAGCGTTTAGTGGGGCTTTTAGACCAGCAGGCGATGCCGTAGCAGGGAAGGCATGTGAGGCGCATGGGCGTGCAGAAGGGATGGATGGAATGATTGAAGAGAAACCGGCTGCTGATTACAGTGGGCGTGCAGGGATTTCAATGGGCGTGCATGCAGCAGCAGGGATGGCATGTGAGGCGCATGGGCGTGCAGAAGGGATGGATGGAATGATTGATGAGAAACCGGCTGCTGATTACAGTGGGCGTGGGCTTGAGGAGAAGAGTTTTGGGGAAGAGAAGGAGCAAAGGGGGGAGGGTCGAGACCTGGTGGTGGGGAGTGTGGTGGGAGGAGGGGAGGTGAAAAAGGAGGAGCAAGTGGTGGAGGGTTGTGGTCTGCTGGTGGGGAGTGTGGTGGGAGGAGGGGAGCTGACGAAGGAGGAGCAAGTGGGGGAGGGTTGTGATCTGCTGGTGGAAAGTGTGGTGGGAGGAGGGGAGGTGGGGAGGAGGGGAGGTGGGAGAGGAGGGCTGTGCTAGGGGAAGGGGCACGAGCGTGGGTGGAGCTAAGAGGAAGAGAGATGGAGATACGGGAGGAGAAGGACGGGAAGGTGGAGGAAAGGGAGAGGGGGAAGCGGAAGGAAGTCAGGAACAGGTTGAAAAGGTTTTAGATATGGGGAAGGAGAGGAGGAATGGGAAGGATGAGAAGGATGAGAAGGATGAGAAGATTGGGAAGGTTGGGAAGGGAGGGGGGGGAGGAAATGGACGGGAAAGAGGGGAAGGGAGGGAAGGATGGTGTAAGCACGGGCGGTTCTGCTGGCAGTGGTGATTCAGGCAGCGCCTCTGGGCAACGGAAGGGCAAGAAGACTTTTATGGTGCTCCGCACTGCGATGGCTGAAGGGGGTTCAGTTGAAAGGAAGGATGGGAAGGATGGTGTTAGCATAGGTGGTTCTGCTGGCAGTGGTGGTTCGGGCAGCGGCTCAGGGCATCGGAAGGGCAAGAATACTGTTATGGTGGTCCGCGATTTGCATGTCATCTGCACGAAGGAAGAGGCCGCTCAGATTCGACTGCAGTTGGAACAGGCTCAGCAGGGGCAGCAGGGGCAGCAGCAGGGGCAGCAGGGGCAGCAGCAGGGGCAGCAGGGGCAGCAGCAGGGGCAGCAGGGGCAGCAGCAGGGGCAGCAGGGGCAGGGGCAGGGGCAGGAGCAGCAGGTGCAGGGGCAGGGGCAGCAGGGGCAGCAGGGGCAGCAGCAGCAAAGAGTGATTAGAGGTGTGGAGGAGGGAAGCAAAGGAGGAGCAACAGCTTCTAGGGGGGTGGTTGTTGCTCTAAGAGCAAGAGGGAGTGGTTCAAACGATTCTGCAGCATCATTAGGGAGAGGTGGCGTGATGGAGGAGGGAGGTAGAGGAGAAGCATCAGCTTCTGGAGGGTTTGTTGTTGCCACACGAGCACGAGCAAAGGGTTCAAGTGATTCAGCAGCAGCATCCTCTGGGAGAGATGGTGTGGTGGAGAGTAGGAGGGCCACACGTGGGACTGTAGAGAGGGAGAAGCGGGGTAGTGTGAGTAGCAGTGTGACAGTAAAGGGTGCTGGTGTGAGTACGAGGGGTGGTACTACTCCTGGGGGGGGAAAGACTGCTGTTGGGAAGAGTGGTGCTGGTGCTAAGGGTGCTGCTGCTAAGACTGCCGGTGCTAAGAGTGCTGGTACTGCTAAAGCTGTGGAAGCAGAGGTGATTGAACTGCTCTCAGATTCAGATGAAGAGGAGGTGGAGGAGAAGGGTGGTGGTGATGCTGGTGGTGCTGCTGGTGGTGCTGCTAGTGGTGGTGGTAGTGGTGGTGCTGGTGGTGCTGGTAATGGTGGTGGTGGTGGTGCTGCTGCTGCTGCTGCTGCTGCTGCTGCTGCTGCTGCTGCTTCTGCTGGTGGAGGTGCTTCCGCTGGTGGAGGTACTTCTGCTGGTGGAGCTTCAGGTGTACCCGTTGCACCTGAACTGCCGTCGTCAAGTGTTACAAGGTGATTCCCGTCTCTGATGCTGTTTGAGTCAGCGCAGATGCATTACAGAATGCATAGATGTTGTCGTCTCTTTGCGTGGATTCTTATTCGTGTCAGCATCCCAGCTCCCGTTTCCTTCATGTTTTACAGCAGTCAATTTCCCCGCTGTCCCTTATATCCATTCGTTTTTTCCGTTACTCCCTGCTTCGCTGTCTCCTCTTCTTGTCTTCATTTTGCCTCGTCTTTGTCTCCTCTTTAGAGCAGAGGGAGGGCAGCGGGCAGTGCAAGAGGGCATGTGCCACATGCTGTCCCAAACCTTCCTTCTTTCCTCCTGTTCTCTCTCCCTTCTTCCCTGCCTTTTGTCTTCGTTTCATCTCCTCGTTGTCTCCTCTTTAGAGCAGAGGGAGCGCAGCGGGCAGTGCAAGAGGGCATGTGCCACCTGCTGTCCCAAACGCAGCAGAAGCAACGCCATCACCAGCAGCAGGGGGAGCAGCACCACCAGCGGCAGAAGCTGCAGCAAGGTCAGCAGCAGCAGTTACAGCGTCGGCAGTGGCAACAGAGGCAGGGTTTAAGGCAGCGTGGGCAGGACTATTTGGATCGCCGCAAGCAGCAAGAGCAGTGGGTTCTGCCGTGGCAGCAATCCCAGCAACGGCAGCACAAGCAGCACAAACTTCAGCACAAGCAGCAGCAGTGTCAGCTAAAGCACCAGCAGCACCGTCAGCAGCAGCCGCAGCAGCAGCTGCCCCAGAAGCAGCAGAGACGGCAGCAATGGCAGCGACAGGCAGGGCAGCAGCAGGAGGGACGAGGGCAGCAGGCAGTGTCAAGGCGATTCAAGCAACGACTCGCTTAGCCTTGCCAGCAGATGTTGTTGCAACAGGAGCAGCAGGAGCAGAAGCAGGAGTGGCAGCGGCAGGAGCAGCACCAAGAGCAACTACAGCCGCAACGGGATCAGCACCGAAAGCAACAACAGAAAAAGCAACAACAGCAGCAATTGGCACAGCACCAAGAGGAGCTGCTGCAACAACAACAGGAGCAGCACCAAGAGCAACAGCAGCAGCAACGGGAGCAGCAACGAAAGCAACAACAGCGACAACAACAGCAGCAGGAAGAGCAACAGCAGCAACAACAACAGCAGGAGCCGCACCAAAAGCAACAGCAACAGCAGCAGCACCACAAGGAACAGCAGCAGCAGCACCAAGAGCAACAGCTGCAGCAGCACCAAGAGCAACAGCATCAGCAGCAGCACCAAGAGCAACAGCATCAGCAGCAACACCAAGAGCAACAGCATCAGCAGCAGGAGGAGGGGGAGGAGGCAACTCTGTGAAGCTGCACATCATTCCCCCTCGCCGCCCAGCCACTACCAAGGCTGCCAGCACATCTCACTCTAACACTCACCACACTCACCCCACTCACCACACTCACTCGCACCTCACAGCAAAGCAGCTCGTTCGCCCTGCCTCTAAAGGCGCGTCTCACTCTAACGCTCACCACACCCACTCGCACCTCGTTCCTAACCAGCCTGCTCGTCCTGCTCCTACTGGGAATCCCGCTCCCGCTCTCAACCCCGCTCTAAAGAATGCCGTGGTTTCCTCTCCTCTCTCATCCATCGCCTCGTCTGTCCCTTCCTCTACCCCCTCGTCTGTCCCTTCCTCTACCCCCTCGTCTCTTACCTCTGCCACGCACTCAGTGGCTGCACTCTTACCGCCTGTTGGCTCTAAACAAGTCCTCACTTCGACCTCACTTCCTGCAGCTGCCCCTGAGAATTCTCAGAAGTGACTCTTTTCCCCTGACACCAGGTGTCTACACCAGGGCATCACCCCCTGGTGTCTGCAATTGTCTATCCCCTCAGCCACTCGCTCAGTAGCCGCATCCATACTGCCTGTGAGCTCCAAACAAGTCCTTACTTTTCCGGCTGCTGCTCCTGCTGCCCTTAAAGGCCCTGTTGCCACTGTCCCTCCTTTTCCTGCTTCTACTGCTGCTGCTGCTGCTACTGCTGCTGCCCATAATGCACCCTCTCTTCCTCTTCCTCCTCCTGCTGCTGCTGCTGCACCCTGGAAAGCCATGCCTTCTGCCACTGCCCCTACTGCTGCTTTTCCTCCCTGATTTGCTTTTTTCATTGCATGCTGTTAGGTCCTTCACCCCCTTTCGGCCTTCCTGACCCTCCCCCTCACTACAGTGTTCATATCTTTCCATCCTAATAACAGATGCGTTCAGCCAGTGTCCTGGAATCACACATACCATATAACGAATGCCTTACTGGTTGCTGCTTGTGTTACCGTATGTTGTGGTGAACCTTTGATCTAATAATCTGTACCATAATATAAGGACCCGAGGAATTGTGTACCATCACACACACACGGAACAGCACACTTTTGTAATAGGGCAGCATTGCATCGTAACAGTGTGATCCGCTTGCCTCTCCTTCAGAATCCGCTTGCCACTCGACCAATCACAGCAGCAGGGAGGGAACCCCTCGCAGTGCGGAGCAAGCAAGCACTGTGTAGCCGTGGCTTGGAGGCCACTTCTTGTCAAATAGTACATACTTTATGCATCCTTACTGGCTGCAGTCTAATGTAACAGAGGCGTAGGTTTGAGACGTCCCAAAACTTGGGAACACTTCTTGTCAAAAAGGCCATACCAAACTTTATGCAGTCTTTTACTGGCTGTAGGCTATTGTAACAGACGCATCCCCACTTGCCTCTTCTGTTGATGACGAAATTACCCGACCAATCACAGCAGCAGCAGGGTACCCCTCTCTGTGCAGAGCTAGCAAGCACTGAGTGGCCGTGGTTTGGGGGACAGAAAGGAGCAGCCCTCCAGCTGTTTGCGGGTCGAAGAGGAGCGGAGTGAGCGGATGGGTGGATGCCTGGACAAGGTAGAGGGAGGGGGAGGGAGGGAGAGTGGGGAAGGTGAAGGGGAAAGTGGAGCGAAGGATTTGGGGTTTCAGAGCCAGCAAGCAGTGAGTGGGCAGTGGCTTGGGGGATGGAAAGGAACAGCCCTTCGGCTGTTTGCGGGTCGAAGAGGAGAGGAGTGCGGGGATGGGCGGATGCCTGGACACCATGGTGGGGATGGGGGAGAGAAGCGAGAAATTCATGAGGTGCTGCATAGATGGCAAGCATTGAGCAGATAGCAATGTCACGATTCAAAGCCATGCGTGGCCGTGGCTTAGGGATGGAAAGAAAAGAGCAGCCCTCCGGCTGTTTGCGGGTCGAAGAGGAGCAGAGTGAGCAGATGGGCGGATGCCTGAACAGAGAGGAGGGAAGGAGGGTGGGGTGAGGGAGGGAGTTTTGGGGAGGGCAAGGGTGAAGGAGGGGGTGGGTCTATGGTATGTGGCTTACGAAACTCACTAGTCGATTCATCTCATCTCATCCCCACATCCTAGCATTCTGTCCTCTCCCTCACCTCCTCGTAGTTGGTGATTGCTCGTCTCAGGCGCAGGTTCGAATCCTGCAGCGAGCTGAAAATGCCATCCTCCACACACTGCCGTGCACCGTCCTAGAGAGAGAAGGGGATGGGTGAGGTTGAGGAAAAGGTGGAGATGTTTCAAGCTCAGAATAAAATTACTGAAGTGAGCTAACCTTGCATGCCTTACATGCATGTCAAAGTGCCATTGTTGAGAGGAAGGGAGGGCTCAGGGAAGGAAACAAAAAAAGCCTTCGAATCCTGCATTTTGCTGAAAAACGCCTTCTTGAAAAGCATTCTATTACAAAACATGGACGATCACTACAGTTGGTTACGAGGTGTGCAAGTGGTTACCATAATGGGGATTGTAGAGGGGTCGATTGTTACAGTAACTCGAGATGCTGTTGTCATTTCCACCAGGTGGCCTGTAGACGGCATGGGAAGGCATACAAGGAAGGCATGAAGGGCCGAATTGAATTAATGGGGATTGTAGAGGGACCGATGGTGACAGTAACTCGAGATGCTGGGGCCATTTCCACTTGTTGATGCATACGCACGGCATTGGAGAAGCATGGCACACACGCAGGCCAAGCCATGGGTTGTTGTATGTGCATAGGCAAGGCATGTCACATACACACATCGCAATATGCACATGGTAAGACATGGCATTGCATGGCATGGCATGGTACGTAGTATCAAGACCTCTCAAAACGTACTGGTCCGGCTAAACTCACCAAGTAAGCCAAACCCCGTGACATCAGTAGCAGCCAAGGCCCCATGTTGCAATGCAATGGACGCTGCTTTCTGGTGGCGAAGAGGGGAAGGAAGGTGAGGGAAGGGGGGATGATGGGTTGCAAGGGAAGGGAAGGGAATGGGAGAGGAGAGGGGCAATAGGGTAGTAATGATGGTGGCAGCAAGAGTTCCATGTTGCCATGTAATTGAATGGCTGTTCCCCTGCTGGTTTCGAAGCTTGAACAGGAATGAGGGAAGGAACGTTTCAGCCCTTAAGTCACCTGAATCTACACCAGTTGCGAGGCATCACACTACTTGACACATCACGCCTTCCCCCGACTCACCTGATTAGACACCAGCATGCTATGGATCACCCCATCCACCCACCGTCCCTGAGCGGCATGGCAGGACGATGCCAGGAGTGGGCTACTTGCTTCAGCAATGCTACTTGCTGATATGTTGAACTAACAGGGCCAACGTTTCTTCCCTTGATGACTCACCTGATTAGGCACCAGCATGCTATGGATCACCCCATCCACCCACCGTCCCTGATGGTTGTGGGAGGACGATGCCGAGGGAGGCCTACTTGTTTCAGCAGTGTTACTTGCCGATATTGTTGAATGAATCGGGGGATTCTTCCCTTGCCTGGACTCACCTGATTAGACACCAGCATGCTATCGATCGCCCCATCCACCCACCGTCCCTGATGGGTGTGGGAGGATAGCACAAGGGAGGGGGGGTTAGGCAGAGGAAGACGGATAGAGGTCAGGAGGTAACGCTTGAGTACAAAGAGGGGGCACTGGCAGATGGATAGAGGTAATTAGGAAATCCCACCACCATATTCAAGGAAAAGAGCTGGGCTAAAGTAGGCCTAGGTCTATTGGGTGGTAAATTCGACCAGAGAGCTGTCGGAACTACTTCTGCGCTGGGATAAAGAGGCGCCTAAAAAATCATCTCATATGAGAGGAATCTCATATGGTGGAAATATGGCCAGACAGCTGTTGGAGTCATGTATTATTAACTGTGACTTTCTTGATGAAAGGTTTTGTTCTTTGAGTAAGTTTTTGGCTGAGAAGAGTGTTGATTGTGACCCCGAGGCCCTATGCCTATGACCCGAGCTTTTAGCTCACCATTCCACTGTCCCACCTTGGCCTTGCATCGCATGTTGGCTGCAAAGATGACTCCCGTGCCGATGGGCTTGGTGAGAATGATGGCATCTCCCTCATGCATGCCCGCCTGCATGGGACACGAGGTGCGCACACAAGGCATCCCAGAGACAGGTATGGGAAGGAGATGTAGGTGTGACAAGTGTGACTCCTGTGCTGATGGGCTTGGTGAGAATGATGGCATCTCGCTCACACATGCCCGCCTGTGTGTGTGCATGGGGTGAGAGAGGAACGCACACAGGACAGTCCAGGGAGGGAGGTATGGGACGGAGATGCTGCTGTGACAAGTGCGGTGTGACTCCTGTGCGGTGTGACTCCTGTGCGGTGTGACTCCTGTGCGGTGTGACAAGTGGGTGAGGATGATGGCAGGATTATGTTTCAGAAATTAACAATAGTTACTCATGTACCTTTCTCAGCAGCCGGTCTCTGTCAGCCAATCCCGTGACAGCAAACCCCAGCGACAGCTCAGCACCCTCCACAGTGTGCCCTCCCACCAGCTGACACGTGGCAGCATCCAATTCGCGGATGGCCCCTGCCATGACCTGGAAAAGCTCCTCCTCCATCTGATGAGAGTGGAAAGGAGAAGTGGGGGAGTGGGAGTGAAGGGGGAGATGGATGAGTCGGACAAGGAAGGGGGAGAAGTGGAGGGAAGGGGGAGGGAGAAGGGAGAGCAAAAGGGGCGCTTTTGATTCGCAGATGGCCCCTGGCATGAGCTGGAAAATCTCCTCCTCCATCTGATGAGAGTGGGAGGGGGAGACATGGGAGATGGGAAGAGACGAAAATGGGAGAGCGAGGGGGAAGGCACCCATGACGAAGCAGTCACCGAGAGCGTGGAGGACGGCAAGCAATGTGACAGTAACGGGGGTCTCACCTTCTCCTCGGTACCATAGGGCAGTGTGACTATAGCGAGCGCTGAGACGGGGTCAGCACCCATGGCGAAGCAGTCACTGAGAGCATGTAGGGCGGCAATGCGGCCGAAGGTGTGCGGATCGGAGAGGAAGGAGCGGAAGAAGTCGACCGTTTGCACCAACACTGGGCTCTGGTGGGAGAGCGAGGGAGAGATGAAAGAAAAAGGGGAAGCATGCAATTTGTGAGAGCGTGGAGAGCAGCGATTCGACCAAAGGTGTGCGGATCGGAGAGGAAGGAGCGGAAGAAGTCGACCGTTTGCACCACCACTGGGTTCTGGTTGCTCAGACAGGGGGAGAAGGGAGACAGAGGGAAAGCATATGGCTTGTTGTGGCAGGGAGGGCGGCAGTGGCAGGTATGTGGGCACAGGTGTGCGGATCGGAGAGGAAGGAGCGGAAGAAGTCGACCGTTTGCACCAACACTGGGCTCTGGTTGCTCAGACAGGGGGAGAAGGGAGGTGGGGAACAAACATGAAGCATGTGAGAACATGGAGGGCGGCAATCCGACCAAAGGTGTGTGGGTCGGAGAGGAAGGAGCGGGTCGGAGAGGAAGGAGCGGGTCGGAGAGGAAGTCAACTGATTGCACCACTACTGGGTTCTCATTGGCCCCCGCCCTGCCCTCACAGCTGTGTGGCCAATGAGAAGACAACCACATGCAGACGAATTGTCAGGTGTGAGGCCAGGTGATTCCATCAATTCAGCCCTGAAGAATTTCCGGATGCGTACCTGACTAACGCCGACCGTGCTGTCAGGTGTTATCGCCAGCACAGCAGCATCGTCAGGTGAATTTGCATACCTGACAGCCAGCCTTGCTCTCAGGTGGAATCACCCACCACGGCAGCATCAGGTGATTAGCCAGGAGAAATTCCACATGCGCACCTGTCTGCCGCCCGTGCTGTCAGGTGGAATTGCCAGCACAGCGGCGTCGTCAGGTGAGTCGAGCCCCAGGAGGTTTTCCAGATGCATACCTGACAGCCGCCCTTTCCCTCAGGTGGAATCGCCAGCACAGCGGCATCGTCAGGTGAGTCAAGCCCCAGGAGAATTTTCAGATGCATACCTGACAGCCGCCCTTTCCCTCAGGTGGAATCGCCAGCACAGCGGCATCATCAGGTGAGTCAAGCCCCAGGAGGATTTCCGGGTGGCCAGGCGGGCGGCTGGGGAGAGCTGCGAGACGAGTGAGGACGCGGGAGAGAAGGGAAGGCCGACCTGGTGGGATAGGGGGGGGGGAGGGTTGGGAGAGAAGAGATGAGTGAAGACAGAAGATGGCTGTGTGGTGTCTTCAGGAGGGTGGCGAGAGACAAGGGAGAGCGATTGAGGGGTGGGTGATGATAGGAGATGCAAGAGCGCGCTGTCCGGTGTAGGGAAATATGTCTCACTGCGAATGCATGCCCACATCGCAGCTAGCAATGACTCGCCTTGGAGCCACAATCCCCACACCGCATGGGCATGCTCTTGATTGCAGCGGCCCAGCCATGTGTGCGACGGGGATGGTGGGGGGAGGGGGCGGTGGCATGAAGAAGGCGTGGAACCAAAGCGCATGTAACACCTCACCTTACATGGGAGTTTTTGAGGCGCCTCAAAAACCGCCTCAAAAACGACCTCAAAAGAAGGCGTGGAACCAAAGCGCATGTAACACCTCACCTTACATGGGGGTCCACATGATTGAAGAAGGGTTTTGAGACGGCTCAAAACCCTTCTTCAATCAAGAAGGCGTGGAACCAAAGCGCATGTAACACCTCACCTTACATGGGAGTCCACATCCCACCTTGGAGCACAGAGGTCTCTCTCTCACCTTGGAGCCACACCCCCCACAGCGCATGGGCATGCTTTTGAGTGCCAGGAGCGCTTCAGGCCCGGCCGTGTGTGCGACGGGGATGGTGGGGAGAGGGGGCGATAGGTGGGGACTTACACGTCGACCTACACGCCTCTCTCACCTTGGAGCCACACCCCCCACAGCGCATGGGCATGCTCTTGAGCGCCAGGAGCGCTTCAGGCCCGGCCGTGTGCGCGACGGGGATGATGGGGAGAGGAGGTGATGGGTGGGAAACTACGTGTTCATCTGCAAACACCTCACCTTGGAGCCACACCCCCCACACCGCATGGGCATGCTTTTGAGTGCCAGGAGCGCTTCAGGCCCGGCCGTGTGTGCGACGGGGATGGTGGGGAGAGGAGGTGACGGCATGGCAGGTAGTTGGTTGAACTGCTGCATGAACGCCCGGTCTATGCGGTCCTGAGCGGTTGGAAGGTTTGGATGGGGGGAAGGGGGCGAGATGTCGATTACAGGTGTTTCAGTGCCTCAAAGGGTGATGCGGCAGTTCAGCCAAAGGATGAAGGCGGGCAGTTGGCTGAACTGCCTCAGGAAGGCTCGATCGATGCGGTGCTGAGCGGTAAAATGGTATAAAGGAAGGAGGTCCAGCTGCTTTCTCACCTTGAGCGTCCACATAATACTGTCTTCAAAGGCCAACGAGCCCCGAGAGAAGACCGCGTATTTATCACCGGTGCTGTGAGCGAGGGGATGTGAGCGAGGGGATGTGAGCGAGGGGATGTGAGCGAGGGGATGGGAGCGAGGGGATGTGAGCGAATGGCAAGGTTGTGAGACAGAGAGTTTGACTGCTTGAGAGTTTGACTGTAAATGGATATCCAAAACATACCCCCCCCACCACAAACATGCCCGACTTCGGTCCTGTTACTTGAACAACCCAGTCAATAGGCACACAGATACATGTAAACCAATGCACCCGAGGAGGTTCAAAAAGGTTTGAAGGGTTTTGAATGTTGATCCATAAGCGCTCTCTTCGGATTCTCAGCCAGGCAGGGGCATTCCCGTCCGCACTGCAAACACGCCAGTCTTGGCTTTGACCCCACTCAGTCGACACACACATAGGTGACTTTTGAGTCCACTCAAAAGTCACCAAACACGCCAGTCTTGGCTTTGACCCCACTCAGTCGACACACACATAGGTGACTTTTGAGTCGACTCAAAAGTCACCAAACACGCCAGTCTTGGCTTTGACCCCACTCAGTCGACACACACATACACATTCATACAAACCACCACACCTGATGAGGCTCAGAAACGTTTTCTGCGGTTGGAAGGGTTTCAAAGGCTGATCCAGAAGCGCTCTCCTCAAGTTTTCCGCCAAGGGCATGCCCTGCCGCACTGCAAACACGCCCGCCTTCGGCCGTGGGTAAACGTCGGATGAGTGGATATCCCCCACTGCAAACACCCTTCTATGGCTGATCGACTCTAGCGTGTCCCCCACTCGGATGAAGCCGTTTTTGTCCAGGGCTAGACCCGTTTGGCCAAGCCAGGAGGCTGCTCCTCCCTGGGAAGCAGGGGTGTTACGTAGGAGGTTGGGGGGGTTTGGCAGGAGATGGGGCAGGCGGGAGGTGGGGGGATATGGGCAATTGACGAGTGGATATCCCCTGCGGCGAACACCCCTCTATGGCTGATCGACTCTAGTGTGTCCCCCACTCGGATGAAGCCGTTGCTGTCGAGAGCTAGGCCTGTTTGGGCGAGCCAGGAGGCTGCACCGCCCTGGGAGGGATTGGTGGGAGCAACGAGAGAAGAGGAGTGGATGCTCGGTACAAGTGTAAGACAAAAGCGTAGGGAGTTTAGGCCTCAATGGGGCTGGGATGTGAGACAGTAAACACGTTCCTCCCCTTTCCTCTTCACTCTCAGACTTCCTTCCTCACACTCTTACCCTCTTGCTCACTCACGCACACTAGCACACCCACCTGTGTGCACCACACACACTCGTCAAACTCCACCTCCTCTCCCCCTTCCAAGACCAGCACCCCTCCTTGCACCGCCGACTCTCTCTTTTCCCCTCCACCCGCCCCGCTGCTGCTTCCCCTGCCGACCTCCCCTTCCGCCCCATCCACCGCTCCCTCTCTATCCCCTCCCTCTCCACCGCTCTCCACTCCTCGTTGTCTCACTGCCACCACTGCAGCATCGAGAACCTTCATACCTGGTTCATTCATTGACGGTTGCACGCATGTGGGGTGAGGGATGGTGGATTGAATAGGATTAGATACTTAAAAGGTTATGAGCTTTCACACTGTTGTCATGGAGGGATGGTGACTAAAAAAAAGCTGACTCTTGAGTCGACTCAAAAGTCACCTGGATGGTGACTGGATAGACAGCTGACGGTTACTTCCAGTTGATGGGCCGCAAACGGTAACACTCTTCTTGAGAGATAAGATATCATCGCATCAAGCACCTTCACTCCCCTCCCTCGTAAACCTCCCTCACTCCTCTCGCTCACTCCTCTCCCTCACTCCTACCACACTCCTCTTCCACTCCCCCCTCACTCACTTCTCTCCTTCAAGATCCGTCGGACAATCAATCGCACGCGTGCGTTGTGGGTGGGCAGCAGATCCCCCCTCGTTATAAGCACAAAAGAGGCATACACCTGGCTTTTCTGTATTACCAAAAAAAAAAAAAAAAAAAAAACCACACACACACACACACACACACACACACACACACACACACACACAAACACACACATACACACACACACAAAATATTGCAAAAACGCACAAATATAAAAAACCAGAACAAACAAAAAAATGAATTGCTCTTGAAGGCACTAACTGATTTCTGTAAGACTGACACAACAAAGGCAGAATCTTCAGATCATAGCTGCAAAGGCAACGCTGTAGGGATTGGAATGGCAGAAGTTCTTAACCCCAGCTGGTTACCACTGTCTGGTTACCACCGCTTATCTGGTTACCAGGCAGTCCTGCTGCAGTCGGTGCTGCATGGCCAGAAGCAGCTCCACCCCTCCTGCGCCCCCTCCCACCACCACCACACGGACACTAGAGCCCTGTAAGAGAATGAGTGGTGAACGGTGGGGTTGGGTTGGGAAGGGTGCAGGACAGTGAATGTGGATGAGGCCAGCTCCACACCCCCTGCTCTCCCTCCCACCACCATCACTCGCACGCTAGAGCCCTGATGTTCAAGGGAAAAGAGTGGTTGCTAGCTGGCTGGGTTGCATTGGGAGGGTTGCGGGACGGTGGATGCAAGTGAGGCAGCTCCAACCCCCCTGTCGCTTCCTCTCCCACCAGGCTAAATCCCGTTAGTAAACGCACGTTGAAGCCCGTCGGCCCAGTAACAAGTGTGGAGCGCTATATTATAAAGTCAAGAGGCAGTGTTGCGTGGTGGTGGAATTGGGGAGATGCGGGGTGGATGGAGATGGGGACCTAGCTTGGATCGAGTCACACCCCCTTGTGGTGAGTCTAAGGGACTCACACTTCCTTAGACCCACCACAAACCTTCCCAGTGACTTTTGAGTCGACTCAAAAGTCACCTCGTAAAATGGGGACCTAGCTTAGATCGAGTCACACTCCCTTAGACCCACCACTAACCTTCCCAGTGCAAATTACAGGGGGGCGAGAGAGGATTCGTGACTGTAAGGCCTCCCAGCGGTGAGCGAATGAGTGGACTGTGGTTGGGGCCTCATTAAGATCCGGGTGTAACTATCAGCTCAATCTAAAAGGTTTACGACTTGGAGGAAGGTTGGTTGAAGCAACTCACAGGGGCCAGGGAGAGGAGGTTTTTGAGGTGCCTAAAAATATCCATGGGTACTGAAGCGATATATAATGATACAAAGGGGTGTTCCGAGAATTGAACTCGGGACCTCTCGCACCCTAAGCGAGAATCATGCCACTAGACCAAACACCCGCGATAGGAGAGTGAGGCGCCTTAAATTCGGTGTTTTTTGGTAATTCCTTAGGAGCCTCACATACCATTTTCATGCTGGAATCCTTCTGATCCACCTCACAGGGGTGAGGGAGAGGATGCGTGACCGCAGGGCCTCCCAGCGGTGGGTGAAGGAGTCTATGGGCTTCACTGGGAGGGCGCTGCTGGTGGTGGTGCTTGATCTAATTTGATTCGATCCTCGGGGGATGCACTCTTGCACCCACACGCATGACCAACCCCCCCAGTACAACTCACAGGGGCGAGGGAGAGGATGCGTGACCGCAGAGCCTCCCAGCGGTGGGTGAAGGAGTCGATGGGCTTCACTGGGAGGGTGAGCTCCTTTGCTCCTGGCACTGATTGCTGCTCAGACGGATGGAGAGAGGGGATGGGAGTGGGGCGGAGTGTCAAGACACAGGTCGTCGTAACAAATGGGCAGGCATGCGCCCATCCACCAGCCAGCACCACAGCACGCACGCTGATCCAAGTACATGGAAATCGCTTTTGATAATTCTCAAAAGCGATTCCCATCCGCCAGCACCACAGCTCGCTGATCCAAGTCCAGGCCCGAGGCGCAGCAGTGCAGCAGCGGATGTTGGTAGTGCGTACGTGAGGTGACAGGATACCAGTGATGTCAATGGAAAGCACGTCGTAGCGAATAGGAGGACGCCCATCCGCCAGCACCACAGCTCTCTGCTCCAAGTCCAGGCCAGAGGCACAGCAGTGCAGCAGCGGTTACCAGAGAGGTGACACTAGTGCATGACGTGACGGCATACCAGTGGAGTGATCCCGATATCAATGGACAGTACGTCGTAGCGAATGGGGGGGGCGCCCATCCGCCAGCACCACAGCACGTTGATCCAGGTCAATGCCAGAGGCGCAGCAGTGCAGCAGGCGAGCGTTGGTGAGTTGGGCCAAGGGGCGCAGGTCGATGTGACAGTCGTCGTACGTGTAGTGGCCTGGGTGGGTGGCAGAGGGAAGAGGAGAAGAGGAAGACGGGGTAAGGCGGGAGAGGGACAGGGAAATGGGAAAGGCTGTGGGGGAAGAGAAGAGAGAGCAGTGATCCTCCCAGGTTCAGGTCCGAGGAGCAGCAGTGGAGCAGGCAAGCGTTGGTGAGTTGGGCCGAGAGTATGTCAAGTGCAGGCCGATATGACCTGGGTGGGTCAGTGCAGTGCACGTCTCGGTGCACGTCGCAGTGCACGTCGCAGTGCGCGTCTCAGTGCGCGTCGCAGTGCGCGTCGCAGTGCGCGTCTCAGTGCGCGCCGCAGTGCGCATCTCAGTGCACGTCGCAGTGCGCGTCTCAGTGCACGTCTCAGTGCACGTCTCAGTGCATGTCAAGAGTAGTGGATGGGATGGGAGGGGGCAATTGGGATTCGGGATGCCTCTACTGCAGATTCGAGTGCACGTCTCAGTGTATGTCAGGAAGGAAGTGAGGTGAATGCTCTTACCGGCCACGAGGCCTGGCAGCATGCCGCTGTAAGGCGTGTGCACGTCCCGAGTGACCAATGTGAGCCTGACACCTGGCATCGGCTTCATGGCGAAGCTCTTGAGCACCACCACGTGGCTGCCAGCATGCAGCAGGCATGGTTTCAGGGGAGGGGGGGGAGAGAGAGGGGGGTGTGAGGTATGTTTTTTGAGAATTCTCAAAAAACATACCCAGCATGCAGCAGGCATGGTTTCAGGGGAGGGGGGGAGAGGGAGGGGGGTTTGAGGGGGGGGGGGGGGGTGTTGGAAAAGGGGGGAAGGAAGGAGTGACGGAAGGAGGGACGGGGAGGATGAGCGGGGAAGAGCCAGGAAGGAAATCGAAGGAAGGAGGATCGAAGGAAATCTCACACCAATTAGAAGAAAGAGCGGGAGGGAGAGCGGGAGGGAGAGCGGGAGGGAGAGCGGGAGGGAGAGCCAGGAAAGCCCTGCTCTGGGTTGCTCTGGGGTGTTCTGGGGTGCTCTGAAATGCTCTGGGGTGCTCTGGGATCAAAAGGAGCTTGCGTGACATAAAGGAGTGGGTGGGAAAAGGACTCTACTAGCGTGCTCTTGCAGAATGAAAATTAATATGGGACCACGCCAAGAAGCTTCGAGGAAAGCGCACCTGTGACCTCCGCCGATCAGAACGAGATCCTTCACCACCATCGTGGGGCCGGCCATCGGACGGCTGGCGAGCAGCCTCGATAATAGCGAGCCCATAGGGCCGTTGGATCAGTTAATGAAAGCGGGAGCTCATGCACGCGAAACGCGTTGACAGAATGGAGGAAAATGTACGGAAAGTCCGTATGCAAGGACGAGAGCTCTGACTGAATAATACTGAAGGTTCTTATGCAAGGAATGTTGTTCCGTCTACTAGACGGAAGCCTGGTTGAGAAGAAGTCTGCGAAAAAATTGCAAGTTACGGTCTACGGTATTCTCAAGGGAGCGGCAAGTATTCCGCTCCTCATCCTCGCATTCGAACTGGCGTGACGTGTCATGGCGAGGATTCGTTGTACTTTCCCGTTGCGAGGCGGGTCTGTTTGGAAGGTTCGTTCTATATACATGCCTCTGCACTTGACTCATGATACGACTAAGATATTTTGTACCTTATGGAATTACCACTTTTAAAATGGATATGTTACCTATCCTTGAGTACAGGACCAGCAGCTAAAGGTGGATGGTGCTTCTATCATATTCATCCGTATCCAAAAGGAAATTACCGGTAGCATGTTCACAACTGCCGCATTTAAACATCAACCGGGTGTGAATATCGCATATGCACGTGGAACACCCACCCTTCGTTTCGTCCATGAACTTAGACAGAGATAGGGTAACATCTACATTCCACAGAATGTATATAGCAAGAACACATGGTTGGGAAATATCATTCCCCAATTGCATTGAACAGATGCTTATTTGCCTCGCATATCGTCCCCCACACACCGATGGGTGGCACGTTCGGATGGCTCGTCTCGTCTCATCTCCTGTACACCTGTGGGTGGCACCTCAGCCGAATGGCTGCCACGTCATCAGCAGTTGATCTTGTGAGGGTCTTGGGAGCGATCTGGAACACCCGAGGCCAGTATTTCCCCGTGACTGCAAAGGAATGCCACAGAGAATAATGAGGAAATGGTGAGGGTTACGACATAGGATGGACAGGAGATACTCATGATAGGGTGAGATACTTATGGACAGGTGGATAATGGAAACGTGGAGCAAGATGACTTTCGGAGGTGCCTCAAAGGAAGGCTTGGGATGGACAAGCGGGATGATGGTAATAAGGTGAGATGTGCTGATAATCATGCTCAAAGAGAGAGAGAGAGAAAAGCCTGATCACCAGCATCTGGGAAGACAGGGCGTGGTAAAGATTGACTGAGAATTCAGGGGAAACTGGGAAGCATGGGGGCATAGGGCCATGAGGGGTGGAGCCAAACCCAAGCAAGCAAATCATGCAATGCCCGTACCAAAGAGGCGCCTCTGTTGTGAGGTGACTTTTGCGTCGACTCAAAATTCACCGCATAGGGCCATGAGGGGTGGAACCAAAGAGTCGTTGCATGGTGTAATCAAACCATGCAATGCCCGTACCAAAGAGGCGCCTCTGTTGTGCATCCCATGCAATGCCGTTCAGCACATCAAACTCCTGGTTGGGCTTCACTTGGGCTGCTGCTAGCGCCCTGAGGCACGACAAGACAGAGAATGAGAGAGATAGGTGAGAGGGAGAGGGTTCGTGAGAGGGAGAAGAAAGAAACGGGTCGGTTACAGAGAGACCAGACCGCACGCAGCAATAGAGAAATGCACCACACAACCAACATGCAATATAAAAAATGCATGTTTCTAACCAGCACTTTACCCCAGACGGATTGCATCCGCTCACAGCACAGCATGCACCAACCAGCACAGCACTCACCACAGGCGCTGCAGGTCCATCCAGGCCGCCACTCGCCCTGACACCATTCACTTGACACTCGACCTGCATGCCCAGTTCAAATGACGCACATGCTCACTGCACACACCAACCAGCACAGCACTAACCGCAGGCGCTGCAGGTCCATCCAGGCCGCCACTGGCCCTGACACCATTCACTTGACACTCGACCTGCATGCCCAGTTCAAATGACGCACATGCTCACTGCACACACCAACCAGCACAGCACTCACCGCAGGCGCTGCAGGTCCATCCAGGCCGCCACTCGCCCTGACACCATTCACTTGACACTCGACCTGCATGCCCAGTTCAAATGACGCACATGCTCACTGCACACACCAACCAGCACAGCACTCACCGCAGGCGCTGCAGGTCCATCCAGGCCGCCACTCGCCCTGACAGCGGGTCGATCACCGCGATGCAATCCGTCTGAGGGTAAAGGGACGGACCAGAAGGGATGGGGAAGGGAAGGAAGGACTTTGTTTACTTTGATTTGCCTCGGAAAAAAACGTCCGCCCTGCACTTGCAGCTCGTTGAGTTCACACTTGCAGCACTCCCATTCAACCCCATGCATCCATATTCTCTCACCTCCCTCTCCCACTCTCACCCCCCTCCCCTGCACCTGCCACACGTTGGCATAGATACGGCCACCTCGCACTTCAAGCTCGTTGATCCACGCTATGGGCGTTCACCCTTACAGCACTCCCATCCAACCCCATGCATCCATGACCCTCCACGCTCCCACTCTCCTCCCCCTCCCCCCTCGCACCTGCCACACGTTGGCATAGATACGCCCGCCCCGCACTTCAAGCTCATTGATCCACGCTATAGGTGTGCCGCCATCCGTCACCTTCACCTTGTGCAGCGCTGAGATGGGTGGGGGGTTGAGGGGGAGAAAGGCAAACGGGAGCGGTTGGAGGCAGGACAGGCGGGGGGGCAGTGGGGGTGGGGCTGCTCCCCACCATCGAGCTGCTCCCATCATCATCACCGCACTTCCAACTCGTTGATCCGCACTATAGGTGTGCCGCCATCCGTCACCTTCACCTTGTGCAGCGCTGGTATGTGGGGGGGGGTTGAGGGGGGTTGAGAATGGTTGCTGTATGTGGTGAACCAGCTCTCCAAGCTGGTTCCGATGAGAAAGTAAATACAGGAGGCGCCATTGGAGCAGAGAATGGTTGATGTTATGTATCTCACAAAGGGAAGCCCATGCTGTGACATGGCATACTCTTCAAGCTGCTTGCAATTCCACTGCCTACTCTCGTCTATGGACACACTTTTGAAGGTAGTTGCACTGATGAAGTCGATATAGGAGGCGCAACCAGGACCAACCAGCATCGGTTAATTACACGCTCGAAGGGGCTCAAAGCATGACCGCTACTTAGCACACAAGCGTGATGCAATTAACGTATTTTCAAAGCTGGTTGCACTGACCATAAGTAGATGTATGATGCATGCGCCATCGGAGCCAACCAGCAACGAATGGTTGTATGCTTGAGATGCGTCGAAGCGTGAATATGCACATGATTGTGATGCTACTAACTCGGCCTTCAAGGTAGTAGCGCTGATGTAGGAAGTGCCATCAGAGCCAACCAGCAGCGATTAATTGTAAGTTGATAGGCCCCACCCGTCACTCGTCTGGTGCTTCTTTCAAACAGCCCCCTGTGGTGCCCAACCCACTACCTACCTACTCTAGAAGGCCTATGGACGCACTTTTGAATGTGGTTGCGATGATGAAGTAGATGTAGGAAGTGCCATTGGAGCCCACCAGCAGCGACTGGCAGTGCGCTGCAGGTGTGTTAAAGCACGATTATGCGTGCTGCTGCAAACTCACTCTTGAAGGTGGTTGCGCTGATGAAGTAGATGTAGGAGGTGCCATCGGAGCCCACCAGCAGCGACTTATTGTACGTTGACAGGCCCCAACCGTCCGTCATCTGGTGGCGGAAGCTGCCTGGAAGGAGCCGCATGAGAGCGGTGGGTGAAGGAGGTGTGTGAGCGGGGGTCTGTGACACACCTCCTTGTGGGTATGAGAAATGAACGGATGCGGGGGGGGGGAGGATGGTTGAACCGGGTCGGAAACACTGAGTTGAGACCGATACGGTGGGAGGGACTGATTCGTTCACAACTAGCCTGCCCCTGAAATTTTTATCTCTCACCTATCTTTTGCAAACTTTTGCGGTTGTATATCGTTCCCGTTTTCACCTGCCACGCTAACTGAAACAGCCTGAGGGGACAGAAATCCAGCAACAGACACAGGCAAAAGACAGAGGGCGTCAGAGACAGGACGGGCTAAAGACCGAGGCAGCAGCAGCTGTTTAGACACACAAGGTGGGTCACCATCTACACCAAGCAATAATACAGCTTCAATTGAGGCGCCTCAAAAGCTGTTTAGACACACACGGTGGGGCACCATCTACACCAAGCAACTATACAGCTTCAATTGAGGCGCCTCAAAAGCTGTTTAGACACACACGGTGGGTCACCATCTACACCAAGCAACTATACAGCTTCAACTGTTTCCAACGACAGTGTGATGGGTGGTGGATGGTGGGTGGGTGGGTAAGTGGATAGGGTAAGAGGCTGTTGGGACGTCTCACACCCGACCTGTCGTTGATGAGTGCGAGCCCTTCACTGAACACCGGAGCGCTCTGAGGCACCTTCTTGAGAACCTGCGTGGTGTGTGGTGGGTGATGGGTGGGTGCATGGGTGGGTGGCTGGTTGGGTTTTGTACGCCTGTCTAAGAGTCGTGGGTGAGGGGCAGCAAGCATACAAACGTAACATATTCTTCTCTAAGCATCTCGTATGTGTAGTAGTCATGATGAGATGGATACTGGCAGCAGCTTCTCATACACAGCTGTACACGCTGGATGGGCATAAGATGGTACACATTAGGTTTTTTTTTAGAATTCTCAAAAGCTAAAATATACATCAGGTTTCTTTTGTCGTACTAGCATACCTTCCCTGTGGCGACGTCCACTTCTCTCACACTGGACTGCACACAAGGAGGGGGAGACAGAGTGAAGAAAACAGGGTGGGGACGAGAGAGAGGCAGGAATAGAAGGATGCTTAGCTGGAGAACATTCCAGTGGCTGTATCCACTGAACAGGGAACAGGAAATAGGGTATACCCATTCTGAAACGTCTCAAATCACAGACGACCAACTTGACGTCCGTGTGTAGAAATGATCATACAGCTATAATGAATCAGGAGGCTTCATGTTACGCTGGTACTGCGTCCATTCTAAGCGGGATTACCTGTCCACGCATCCCAGTAGATTCGTAGAAGATTCCTTCCCCGCTGCTTCTTCCTCCGCTCGCATTATGACTCACGTACACCAGACCCTGTTCAGCGGGGAAGGGGAGTCGCAGAGAATGATAACAAACGCAGGCAATAAGCCGGCAGAGGAAATGAAGACGAGGAGTTGTTAAAGACGAGGTGGAAATTCAGCGGTAGGACGAGAAAGACGGGTGACGTGTCACATGAATTCGAACGGCGCATGGACGCGAACGGCACACGAATACGGACCTCCGTGAAGGCTGACGTGTCATGCGGAAACGTCTTGACTATTTTGAATGTGAGAATATACGGCCATGCATTGGACTCTGCATGCGCTAGTGGTAGCGCAGCGGCCGAGAGGAGGAAACCTAGACTGATGCAGCAATATTTGAATAAGCTGGGCTCCATCTCCTAAAAAGGTCTCAGTCAGTAAAATCGCGTGGTTCCGCTATTAGGAATGACAGAGCACGAGAAACTGAAGCTTTCTACGGAGTAGCCCAATCTTCACTACGGCAAACCCAAGCAGGACCTCCCCGCGGGAACGTCAGTGTGGCAATCTCGAGGGGGTGTCAGACAATCGAGGTTCTTCAAGTTCGTTCGGTTGAGTACGATGCTGTGTAGTCTGGATGAGTGATATACATTCACCATCTCAAACCGCTGGTATCTAAAACCAACCATGTGGATAAGTAACGCACTTACTCTTTATACCAAACATATGGGTAAGTATCGCACTAACTCTTGGTACCAACCTATGATAAAGTGACGCACCCACTCTTGGTACCAACCATATGGGCAAGTAACGCACTTAAACTTGGTACCAACCACAACGTTAAGTAACGCACTTACTGTTGGTGCCAACCAAATGGGTAAGTAACGCACTGACTATTGGTACCAACTATATGGGTAAAGAAGACACTTAATCTAGGAACCAACCATATGGTTAAGTAACGCACTTACTCCTGGTACCAACCGTATGGATAAGTAACGCATTTATTCTTGGAACCAACCATATGGTTAAGTAACGTAGTTACTCTTGGTACCAACCATATGGGTACGTATCGCACTTAATCTTGGAACCAACCATATGGTTAAGTAACACACTTACTCTTCATACCAAACTCGTTGGTACGCAACGCACTTATTCTTGGTACCAACCAAAAGGCAAAGAACACACTTAATCTTGGTGGCAACCACAAGGTTATGTATAGCACTTACTCCTGGTACCAACCGTATGGGTAAGTAACGCACTTATTTTTGTACCAACCATATGGATATGTAACGCACTTACTCTTGGTACCAACCATATGGCTATGTAACACACTTACTCTTGGTACCAACCATATGGGTAAGTAACGGACTTAATCTAGGTACCAACCACATGGTTAAGTAACGCACTTACTCTTCGTACCAACCATATTAATAAGTAACGCAGATATTTTTAGCACCAACCATGTGGGTATGTAACGCACTTAATCTTGGTACCAACCACATAGTTAAGTAACGTACTTACTCTTGGTACCAACCCTATGTGTAAGTAACGTACTTACTCTTGGTACCAACCCTATGTGTAAGTAACGCACTTACTCTTGGTACCAACCACATGGTTAAGTAACGCATTTACTCTTGGTACCAACCATTTGGGCCAGTAATGCACTTACCCTTGGTACCAACCATGTGGGTAAGTAACGCCTTTATCTTATTACCAACCATATGGGTATGTAGAGCACACCAACCATATGGGTAAGTAACGCACTCTCTTTTGGTGCCAACCATATGGTACCATAACGCACTCAATCTTGGAACCAACCATATGGTTAAGTAACGCACTTACTCTTGGTACCAACCATATAGATAAGTAACGCACTTACTATTGGTATCAACCATATGGGTAAGTATCGCACTTCGTCTTGGTACCAACCATATGGTTAAGTAACACACTTAGTCTTGGTACCAACCATATGGTTCAATAACACTCTTAAGCTTGGTACCAACTATATGGTTAAGTATCGCATTTAATCTTGGTACCAACAACATAGTTAGGTAACGCACTTTATTTTGGTAGCAACCACAAGGTTAAGTATAACACTTACTCCTGGTACCAACCGTATGGGTAAGTAACGCACTTATTTTTGTTACCAACCATATGGCTATGTAACGCACTTACTCTTGGTACCAACCATCTGGTTAAGTAATACAATTACTTTTGGTACCAGCCATATAGGTAAGTAACGCACTTAATCAACGTACCAACCACATAGTTAAGTAACGCACTTACTCTTGGTACCAATCATATAGGTAGGTAACGCAGATATTCTTGGCACGAACCTTGTGGGTAAGTAACGCGCTTAATCTTGGTACCAACCATATGTTAAGTAACGTATTTACTCTTGGTACCAACCATACGGATAAGCAACGCACTTACTCTTTTTACAAATCATATGAGTAAGGATCGCACTTACTCTTATTACCAACCATATGGGTGAGTAGCGCACACCAACCATATAAGTAAGTAACGCCTTTTCTATTGGTACCAACCATATAGATAAACAATGCACTTACTCTTGGTACCAACCAGATGGGTAAGTAACGCACCTACTCTTCATACCAACCATATTGGTACGTAACGCACTTACTCCTGGTACCAACCACATGGTCAAGTAACGCATTTAATCTTGCTACCAACCATTTGGTTAAGTATCGCACATAATCATGGTACCAACCATGTGGATAAGTAACGCACTTACTCTTTATACCAAACATATGGGTAAGTATCGCACTAACTCTTGGTACCAACCATATGATAAAGTGACGCACCCACTCTTGGTACCAACCATATGGGTAAGTAACGCACTTAAACTTGGTACCAACCACAAAGTTAAGTAACGCACTTACTGTTGGTGCCAACCAAATGGGTAAGTAACGCACTGACTATTGGTACCAACCATATTCGTATGTAATGCACTTACTCTTCGTACCAACCATATGGGTAAGTACCAACCACATGGTTAAGTAACACATTTAATCTTGGTACCAACCATATGGTTAAGTAACACATTTAATCTTGGTACCAACCATATGGTTAAGTAACACATATAATCTTGGTACCAACCATATGGTGAAGTATCACATTTCATCAACGTACTAACTACATGGTTAAGTACGCACTTACTATTGGTATCAACCATATGGTAGGTAACGCACATAATCTTGGTACCAACCATGTGGTTAGAATCGCACTTTATCTGAGAACCAACTACATAGTTAAGTAATGCACTTACTCTTGGTACCAACCACATGGGTAAGTAACGTACTTGATCTTGGTACCAACCATATGGTTAGGAAACGCACTTACTTTTGGAGCCAACCATATGGTTAAATAACACATCAAATCTTGGTACCAACCATATGGTTAAGTATCGCACATAATCTTGGTACCAATCACCTGGTTAAGTAACGCACATACTCTTGGTACCAACCATATGGGTAAGTAACATACTTACTCCTGGTACCAACCACACGGTTAGGTTACACTTTTACTCTTGGTGCCAACCATATGGTTAAGTAATACACTCAATGTTGGTACAAACCATATGGTTAAGTATCGCACCTAATCTTGGTACGAACCACATGGTTAAGTAAGGCACTTAACTTGGTATGAACCATATGGGTAAGTAACGAACTTACTCTTGGTACCAACCATATGAGTAAGTAACACACATACTCTTGTTACCAACCATGTAGGTAAGTAACGCACTTAATCTTGGTACCAACCATATGGTTACGTAATGCACTTACTCTTGGTACCAACCATTTCGGTAAGTACTTTTGTTACCAACGACATAGATGTAACGCGCATACGCTTGGTATCATCGAGATGGTTAAGCAATGTACATACTCTTGTTACCAACCATGTAGGTAAGTGACGTACATAATCTTGGTACCAACCATATGGTTACGTAATGCACTTACTCTTGGTACCAAATATACAGGTAAGTAATGCACTTGTTCTTGGTACCAACCTTAAGGATATGTAACGCACTTACTCTTAGTACCATCCATATGGGTAAGTGGAGCACACCAACCATATGAGTAAGTAACGCACTCTCTCTTGGTGCCAACCATATGGTTAAATGACGCACTTGATATTGGTACCAACCATATGGCTAAGTAACGCGCTTAATCTTGGTACCAACCACATAGTTATGTAACGCACTTATTCTTGGTACCAACCATACGGGTAAGTAACGCACTTACTCTTGGTACCAACCATATGGGTAAGTATCGCACTTAATATTGGTACCAACCACATGGTTAAGTAACGCACTTATTCTTGGTACCAACCATTTTAGTTAGTAACGCACTTACTCTTGGTACGGAAAAGTAACGCACTGACTGTTGGTACCAACCATATAGGTAAATAGTTCACTTACTCTTTGTACCAACCACATGGGTAAGTAACGCACTTAGGATTGGTACCAACCACATGGTTAAGTAACACACTTACTATTGGTATCAACCATATAGGTAGGTAACGCACAAAATATTGGTACCACCGACATAGTTAAGTAACGCACTTACTCTTGGTGCCAACCATATGGTTTAATAACACTCTTAAGCTTGGTGGCCATTCACTTAATGTTGGTACCAACCACATGGTTAAGTAATGCACTTACACTTGGTACCAACCATATGGGTAAGTAACGCACTTACTCTTGGTACCAACCATGTGGGTAAGTAACGTACTTAATCTTGGTACCAACCATATGGTTAGGTAACACACTAAATGTTGGTACCAACAATATGGTTGAGTATCGCACTTAATCTTGGTACCGACCATATTGGATGAGTAATGCACTTACTCTTGGTACCAACCATATAGGTAAGTAACGCACTTACTCTTCGTACCAACCATATTGGTAAGTAACGCACTTACTCTTCGTACCAACCATATTGGTAAGTAACGCACTTACTCTTGGTACTAACCACATGCGCAGATAATTAGAACAACGGGAGCCAGACTACGGGCTAGGCACGGGGCTTGAGTGATCTCTGCGTTCGTTCCTTAGTCGTTTCCTTGTGCACACACTACTTGGTAGTTGACAGAAAGAATTGGCAAGAGTTTCACTAGGAGAAGTTGACAATAATGATTGCAACAACAGTGGCAAGGTTGACTACTTCAGAGCTAGCAGGCATGCAGGTCGACTGCCAGCGCAGCACGGTCA